ATCTCCGTCTTCAGAGGACCCCGGTGGCTTTGTTCCAGACGACCTCGAAGAACGCGAGCAGCACCCACAGCCCTGGATAACGGGCCTTGATATGAATCCTGGGGCGCACAACATCGCGATTGGCTTTACTCCCGCATACCCTGAAACGCTCCTGCAACATGGCGAGCCACTTGGCCAGTCCTCCAGCCAGGCTGCTATGGATCTTGTTTCGGACTTCGCGGACGGGCTGTCGTATACTCCCTCCAATCACTCCTCAGATTTTGAGAATTATGACATGAACATAGACTCGCCTGCCCCTTTCATGCCATCCAACACCACAACTCCCTCCTACCTCGCACCGCCCAACTTTGGTGCTCACATCAACCACGATGATATGATTATTGATGACGAATACGTGTTCACAGCTCTCAGTGACAATGACGATGTTAATGACGCCCCCCACAGCGCCCAAGTGCGCTTCACCAGGGACGACGGCAGTTTGATAGAACGCTCTGATCTCGTTGGCTTTGCGCACGATAGACTTCCACCCACCATGATCCTCGGCCTGGATAACGATCCGAACGATTCTTCCGATACCGAACAGTTTTACGTCTCGGACGACGAGTTCTCGATCGAAGACGCCGCCGAGGCCGTCGGCAATGGTCGATTCACAGACACTCATGAACACTGCGGGCCCCTACTCGACGACCAACCCTCTTACCGCGACCTGGCCCCTTCAACCTACGCCTTTGGCGCCGAATACGCACCCTCCGTCAATGCAGTCTTCGCCCAGCCAAACGATGATGAAGCTGAGGAGGTGATGAATACCAATCAAGGTGGGCTGTCAATGCATACCGAAAGTATGAACGCCTGTTTCCTAAGCTGTTCGTTCGCCACACCCATGAACCCATTTGCCCAGATACCAAAGGACGCAGTTTCCCGACCCTCTCCCAACAACCTTGTTTACCGCATGGAAGGCATTTCATTGTATTTGCGCGAGCTAGGCTCTAGTTTCGCAAATACTTTTTCTACTATGATTGAAACAAGAATATACGAATTTCTTGTCTCTGCCAAGAGCCACCTCGGCCCGGGTTTCGCACCTGGAGTTTTGCACAATGATATTTTTGTTAACCAGCCGATAATATCTTTCTTATCGGACTTTCGACTTTTACATGCATTCCCGCAGGACTTAGAGCAGTATCATCGGTATATGCTAGCGCTTGTTTCCTCCGGACTTTCCAGGCAGGAAGGCCCTTCAAATGGAGACGTTCCTTTTTTACTTACCGAGGTCTCAGAATTGCCGTTTCGCCCCTCAGAGGATTCTCTTCTTCCGCAGAACGGACAACCACAGAGTAGCCATGTATCCTCTGCTTTGGCAAGGACTCCGCGCCCTCTCTTGTCGGAGGAGGAATATCTTGAAATCCATGAATCTTCAGGTTATTCGCATTTTTACATTCATCCTGCATTCGTATTGCTTACGTTTGCGGACGAAGACCACCTTGCCAGCTCATTACTTGCAACTCCCCTTGTCACCCCAGAAGGAGAACTCTACATGGATGCTAATGGAAATCAATATCCAGCGTTCGAGCGGAACCTCACAGTCGACCAATTCATCCGCCAATGGCTTGTGCGATACCGTAATTCCCGATACACGCCACGCATGATAAAAGACCCCTTTATCCCCATATCGGGCGAAGCTGCGAATGTTCTAGATTGGGCACGCCCCGCGAAAATTTCACGACCCGCCTCGTCGTCAAAGCTGTACGATATCCAAGGCATCCCGTGGTCGACGACACTCAAGGTCAAGAGGTCAGATGCTCGTGCCCTACGGGACCGATTGTATACTTCGTACCACAATCTCAAGTATACACCGCACTACGTAAGTCATGCACAGCGTCCCTTCTCCAAACCTTCAGATTGCTTTAGCGTTCGACCTGTGTTTCTCGCTGACCTTTTTTTGATAGTATTCAGCGACTTTGCCCGAAGAGGAGGATTATTTCAGGCCCAAAACAATGTATACCAAATATCGGGCTTCCATGGCGCATTTCCAGCTGCGCAACCTTATGTCTGTCACGGCGTCGAACACCATCCAGTATGCATACCAGTCGAGAATCTACTCGATAACTCCATTCTATAACGAACAGAATTGTTTGATCAACCTTGCAGACCCGCGAACTTCGCGATCTTTCTTCGAATCGGTCAAAATATCGACAATGAAAGCAAAACATGGCGTTACTTTTGTTGGTGGTTTCGCAGGCGAGTACGCTTTTCGAGGAGATATTACTGACTATACCCTCGTCGACGGTCGCATCACTAAAGATCCCAATGGAATAACCAACCACATCGATATCATTGAGCACCGTACTAGCCGCAGCCCTCGAGCTGTCATCTCATCCAACGATGAGCGAATCCGGATTCTCGACTGTGAAACCAATAGGTTCGTCAGCAACCACAAGTTTGCGCGCGCCATCAACTGCACCGATACATCGCCCGACGGTCGTCTACGCGTGGTCATTGGTGACGCGCCGGATGCTTGGATCATCGATAGCGAGACAGGTAAACCAGTCCAGACTTTGATCGGCCATCGAGATTATGGGTTCGCCTGTGCATGGTCACCCGATATGCTACACATCGCGACCAGCAACCAGGACAAGACGGTCAACATCTGGGATGCACGCATGTGGCGAATCCTTCAAAGCATTGACTCTGACATCGCCGGATATCGCTCTCTTCGCTTTTCCCCCGTCGGAGGAGGCCCACGCACTCTACTCATGTGCGAGCCCGCCGACCGCATAGCCATTGTCAACGCACAGTCATACCAGACGCGCCAAGTCCACGATTTCTTTGGCGAGATTGGCGGTGCTGACTATTCCCCTGACGGTAGCCGGATCTGGGTTGCAAACATGGATGTGAAATTTGGCGGGTTTATGGAATTCGACCGTCACGAATGGGGCCAGGAGTTTGGAATTGCACATACGCGCAGGAGACGCATTGAGTGTCAAGGGGATCTTTATTATCCGGAGTTGCCGAATGAATGGCTCCCCGATGCCGACCTTGATGACGATGCACGCTGCGTTTTGGGAGCCGGGGAGCGGAAGTTGCGGTTCCAGAAGCTATTCAATAATCTGCAGTATGAGATGCTTGATCCCCGTTTAGGATAAAGCATTGAGTCCATTTTTACAACAGGAAACAAAAGCAGAGATTTGGTGAGTTGGGGACGAGATTGGTGGTCCCTTTTGGGAACATCCTGTTTTGAGTACTTTTGCAGCAACAAAAACGACAACAACATCGGGACTTTTTCCTCATTTTTTTCTCTTCTTCTGGCTTTTAGCCTTTCTTTTTTCTGCTATTCTCACATGGATTTGGGGATTTTTGATCTTTTTACTTTTGCCTTTTTACTTTGGGCACAAAATAAAAACCTATCCAACAAAAGGGCGTTTGGAGTATGCTGGACCGCAAAACCAAAAGTTCTTGTTTTCTTTTCTTCTTTCTTGCAGCTTCCAGCATGCCTGGTCGCTTTTTGTCATTGCATATTGGAGAGGAGACACTCAATCCCTCCGTTCGGATGACAACTTGGTGGTTGGAGAGAATTCTCTGTTAGAGTTGGAACTCATCCTTTGAATTCTTGCATTTGCCCCCTTTTTGCCAGTTTATGCCCTTTCCCCCTTGTTTCTCATTTGCATGGTTGTTAATCCCTTCCTCTGTCCTCCTGACCAAAGCATCATTGTATCATTTGAATTTTCTTTTTGTTTTTTTTTTCTGCATTTCACTTGTTATTGCAACCTTTTCTTCTCACATGTGTTCTTTTTTTCTGATTGATTTCTTTTGTTTTTAATTCTCTGGTGACACGGAATGGGATGGAGGATTCTAATTGCAGACGGTACTGGTTTAGGAGCATTTGTTTATCTGGCCGATGGCGTCTATGGAAACACGCGATGAGTCTGCAAATTCAGCGGGACAACAGCAGCAGTGAGAAAAGGATCTCTGCAATTCTACACCCTTGCTCATTGGGTCTGCTACAGTATTCTCCAAGAACGGCTTTTGATGTTTTTCTTTTAATTGTTTCTAGCGTTGCTTGTTATGCCTCCCCCCGTTCTGCTAGTGCATTTGTTGACTTTTGTTTTATGTGTGGGAATTTGTGGCCGAAAAAAAAAACAAAAATCAAAATTCAAAATCTGCGGAGATGATGTTAGCTAGATTGATTTAGATGTTAGAGTACACATGCAGTTCCTGATGGAGTCATTCTGCTTGCTCCATATAGGATATCACTCTCTCTC